AAAGGACCCATATGGCTAATCCTTTAGGTTTAATAAATAAATAAATAAATAGTAGTAGTAGTAGAAGAAGAAGAAGAAGAAGAAGAAGAAGAAGAAGAAGAAGAAGAAGAAGAAGAACAGAGCAAGTAGCAAAAAACCTGACAAGGCCAAGCAGACCACTGTAAGGACTCTGGATTTGACACTTGGAAAGATGCAAGGCTCTCCAAAAGAACTCTGAGCAAAAGTACAAATGCAATCAGATTTTGATTTTAAATGAATCACCCCAGCTTTTGTGGAGCAGTCGGTTTCTGGTAGAAACGCTCAGGCTATTGTGGGGGAAGGAGAGACAAAGGCTGGGCAGTAGAGGACATCCATAAAGATGGAGACAGTTCTGTGTGGTAGCATTCACCTGTGACTCAGCACTCCACACGGGAGGATCTTTCCGGACCAGCCTGGCCCACACAGCAGGATTCTTGTCTCCAAATAAAAAATGCTAGCAGGAAACTGGCTCGCTCTTTGACAACACAGACAGACAGGTGAGAAAGTAGCAGCAGAGTTGCTTTCCTTTCTCTCGGTGTGCAAATTTCAGCTTCCATAGCTGGTGGGTGGCTCGGTGGCTAAAGGCGCTTGCCACCAATCCGGGAGCTCTGGGTTCAATCCCTGGGCCCCACATGGTAGGAGAAGTCCCACAAGCAGTCCTCTGACTTCCACACGCGTGTTGTTACATATGTGTACACACACAAGCACACAGGCACACACATGTGAATGTGCCACACACACACACACACACACTCTCTAAACAAACAAATAAGGAAGTTTTGTTTGTTAAAGAAGGTTTTCCAACAATTCTAGTGAGTAAGTTTCCTAGACCGCACGTGAGTGTCTTTCAAGCAGAGAGGATTAAATGACTGGACCCTGGACTTTAAAGGAAAGGAAGACCCCACAGTAGGGCCACTGCCCCCTTCTGCAATCTTCTAGGGCCATTCCTGGGAATCATTTGGTAGCCTCGATGACTGGAGCCATTTTTTCGTGGGGCTTTTAAAAGAAGTCAAGACGCATGAGGGCTCCTGGCTCTCACAGGTCCCTTCATGAATCCTACTCAACAGCTCCAGGCCCTGTTTGCTCATTAACGTCTAATCCCAACAGGTCACTGGGAAGAAAAGAATCGCGCTGTCCTCTAGGTGGACACGCTGACATTATTCAAAAGATTCGGTGTTCCTGAAATAAGGATGGGAGCCAGACCACAAAAGGCTGCATCAATTCCGACTCAAAGAAGATGGGGGAGCAGTGGCCAAGCTGAACGCGCACCTTAATGACTCTTTTTGAGGCCTTAAAAAGTATTTCTGTGGCTTAACGGCCAATTTTGAAAAATGAAGGCCCTGTCTATCTTTTATTTCATTACATACTTCGGCTTAGTGGCTATCATTTTTACGAGGGCTGGATTTGGTTAACAGTGATTGGAGTTTTATGGTCAGGCAAGTGGTTGTCACAGCTGAAAATAAGGCATGCTGGGAATATCCCACTAAAGTGCAGATGAGGGAAAATGCAATACAAAGGAAAGTGGGCAACATTCAGGACACACTCCAGCCTTGGACGGAGACAGCAAACACGGAGAAGAGACTCGTGGGGTGTTGGTACAGGTGTACCCCTATTTTTACATACCAGTCATAATATTAAAGTAGACAGAAATGCTGGGTCTTAGGAAATGCAGATGAGCCCATCTCTTTGTTGGGGGCGTCTCAGATTTGAATTTGGTCGCCAGTGATTCATCTCGCAAGCGACAGTAGGCTGGACTAGTCTTGAAAAGCTAGTAATACTGAAACACTGCAGTTTCTGAATGAATTTTCATTGCGTCAAAGTCTGTTTGCATGAACGGATAGATGGATCCAGCTAGATGGCTGGACGGGAGACAGCCAGATGGGAGAGCAGAAGGTACTGGCATATTTGCCGAGCTGGCTCACTTCTAAGCCTGTATCCAGGCTCGCCCTTGTGCTTGAGCTGAGCTGAGCCGAGGGAGGTGATATGATTCAGGGTCCTATTGCCTTCCTGCAGGAATGAATATATTCTCAAGAGAGCCTTATGCCCTCTCACTGACTATTGCACTATTGAAACAATGGCTCCGGACAGTGGGATTGCCCCCAAAATCCCACGTGGAGAGCAAGAAAAGACTGAAACCTGGTGTCAGCCTGAGGGGGAGCTACTCTCTCAGGAAGTGACTTCACACAGTCAGACCACCTGAGGGAGAGACCATGGAGTCAAGAGAGATATCTGATGGGATGGTGGGCGGGACCACACCTGACCAGGACTGCAAGCCTCTGTTTCTCTATTGAAACCCAAGGCTCACGTCAGATGCCAGAAGAAGGGACATCGGTGTCCCTTACTGAACCCTTCTCAAGTGTCTTCCTTGTGTGGCCACAGTGAATAAACATCCTCTCTCTGCATTTCACTCTAGCTTATTCCCCTCGCTGGCCTGTTAGGGATGAGTGGACAAACCCATCCCATCCCAGGCTCTGACCTCAGTAACTTTCTGACTTCAGGCTCCATTCAACACTGACCCAATCAAACCAACCAACCACTCAACGGATCAGGGTACGTTTTGGGTTTGCTGTCACTTGAGTGTGGTGGGATCCTCTCTTAAAGCTACAGGGTCACTGACAGAGACTTGAGAGAAGGGAACGGCAGAGAAAATTCTAAAATCTTGAAGATGATCCCGAATTAGCAGACTTCCTGGTCAAGAAGATGGACAGCAGAACAGAGCAGAGGGACCACAGAACACACTGGGTTCTGGCCCCTCCAGTGGAAACCAGACCCAGGTCACCTTCCACCAATTACCTTCTGAACCATACCACTGAATAAGGACAAGAGGCAAGTCCAAAGACAGCTGAGCCACACAGCAGCTCCAAAAGGCATGGGTCAGTTCATGCTCTGAATTTTCTCCATATTCTTAATTATCTCTGAGCCAAGGAGGCCACATCCTGTGCCCTGATCAAGCCCTGTAATGGTGACACTAATGTCATGACACAGTCTTCCCTGGCTGCCCCCACCTTCCTCCAACACACCCACCACCACCACAGCCTCTCAAATACATCATGTACTTCCCATGGACCACCACGGCCTTTAGGTGCTGATCTGAAATAATGACATCTCTCCAGCTAACACAAGCTGCCTAAGATCTTTAATCTTTGGCTTTCCTGCCTGTGAAATGGGGAAGTCACCCACATCGCCTTCCCACAAACTACGCTAAAATGAATGACGTGTGTGGGAACACGGACAACTGGTTAGCTGCTTTGCAATTAAGATGAGCATGGTTCCAGGAAGCGCTAGACTCACAACCTTGACCAAATAAGAAAATTTATATGTCCTAAGCTCTGAAAACGTGATTCTTCCCCAATATGAAAAAAAACTATAAAAATGTAAATGATAGTCAAGCATAATATAAGCTGTAAATTCGAATAGTTGGAGAATGGCTAATTCAACACTTTGTCATCTCAAAAGAAATCAGATTCTGTTTCTCACTGCTTTTTCAGTGTGTTGTGTCTTAGCTTTGCCTGTTCCATAAGCACAATGAATATTTGGCGCTGTGTTTTAACCCACTTACTGACTATACCCGGCTTCCTATGAGCGGCTGCTGCAGCCAGGACAAAGCTAGCACTCTGCAAATATTTGCCAAATTAAACTCCCTCTCTTGACACTTCTCAGAAATGTGTCTTCTGTGCATGCAGGAAACCTCCACAAATAATAGGAAACATAAACGGCTCTGGGCAGTCAGACCTCAATCACTCAACAGGAAGTTATTAAAAGCAAAATATATGTATAATTCAGAACTCAAAATAATGAGAGATAGTTTTTAGATGAAAGAAGCAATTTAAATCCTGGAGTTCTGTATGGGGTGGGAGAGACTTGAAATGGGAGCAGGGAAAAAATAGATTTAAGCCCAAGGAGGTAGAGGGACACGAGTCATAAGCAAATGCTTGAAAATATCCACAATGGCTCTCTTTCTCGCTCTCCGCTCCTGTCTCTGTCTTCTCTTCTGTCCTCCCTCTGTGTCTCTCTGTCACTTTACCTCTTTTCTCTTTCCTTCCCCCTCCCTCCCCTTTCTAATAAAACTTCTCACTCAAGCTCTGTCTGCCTGGTGTGTTTCCCCCGCCATGGTCCCCACCACCCACAGGACCCCTTTCCAGCTTTAATAAGGGGAGAAGAGGAGTGGAGAGGAGAACAAGAGGGATCAGGAAGACTGAGACAGGGGAGGAATAGAGGAGAGTAAGAAAAGAGACACCTTAATAGAGGGGGCCAGTATAGGTTTAAAGAGAAGTCTGGCACGAGGGAAATGTTCAGAGAGCCACAGGGATGACCCCAACTAAGAATCTAGGCAATAGTGGAGAGTCACCTTTGATGTCCTTCCCCTATAATGAGATTGATGACTACCTTAATTGCCATCCTAGAGCCTTCATCCAGTAGCTGATGGAAGCAGAGGCAGACACCCACAGCTGAGCACTGAGCTATACTAATGGAATCCAGTTGTGGAGAGGGAGGAGGGATGAGCAAAGGAGCCAAGACCTTGCTGGAGAAACCAGCAGAACAAGCTGACCTGACCTAGTGAGAGTGCAGGGACCCCAGTCATAAAGCTGGGTAGCCAGCATTAGGGCATACCAAGCCCTCTGAATGTGGGTGTCATCTAGTAGGCCTGGGCAGTCCATGGGACCTCTAACAGTGGAACCAGTATTTATCCCTAGTACACAAATGGACTTTGGGAGCCCATTCCCTATGGAGGGATGCTATTGCACCCCAGATACACAGAGGAAGGCCTAGGTCCTACCCCAAATGGGGTGACAGATACCCCATGGAAGGTCTCACCATCCTTGGGGAGGGAGTAGGGGGTGGGTTTAGGGAGCTTGGGAGGGGCATGGGAGGATGGAAGGGAGAGGAAATGGGAGGATTGATATGTAAAATGGTTGTCTCTAAGAAAAAAAGAAAGAAAGAAACTATCCAAAATGCCCAGTTAGGAGGAACTGAAGTTGAAATGGCTCTCGGATTATACTTTACTTGGCATAATCAAATGGAAGCATTTATCCACACACAAAAAAATGTCACCATCACTGTACAATACATGCAAACCTCCCTAGGGGCTCCTCACCTGGCTCCCAGAGGTGCCCCTGCTTCCTGCCCATGCAGATCCTGACTCCTGTGGAGAAGGTCTCCCTCTTAGTCACTCCCCACCTTGAGCTGAGTGGCCATGGGGGCCTGGCGTGTCCTGGTTTCCGTTTTCATAAACGTCAGCCCACAGTGGTAGGGACCACACGGCGCATCGGGACAGTTCAACCAGGATGGCCAGGGAGCCAAGAAAGGGGGTTAGGACGGAAGACCACTGTTGTAACAGATAGCGCCAAGGAGGTGTCCCCAGATGTCTGCTCCCTCTGTGGCTCCTCTCCGCACCTGTCACCCCCTCCTAAGCATGCCATTGTATTGAGTCCATTGAGGAATCAGCCTGCTGAGTGTGTCAGAGCCATCAGGATCTAAGTGTTTCTAGAGACACCATTGCAGACACACCCAGAGGCAAGAAGTCCAAGGCCCCTCCTGGTCCAAGCCAGAAATCAAAAGCAACAGGCAGGGATGACTCAGCACTTTTTAGTGTTACTATTTTGTCCTAAAAATTCATGTCATTTTTGCTCTCCTGGGGAATACACTTGAATATTGCCGGTGCCGTAATTTCTCTCTCATTTCTTCCATTTTCTTTCAATTTCCTCTGCCTCTGGCCCCTCTACCACTGGTATTTTATCTGCCCAATGAGGTCCTTTTTATCATTTTCTCTGTGCTGTCCAGGCTTTTAGCAAAATGCATTCTCCTGGGGTAGTTGCAGGCTTCGGGGACTCATCCGCTAAGAGCTTCCCAGGGCTACTCTGATAAGGATAAATACATTTGCCTAAAAAAAAAAAAAAAAAAAGAGAATCAACTTCCACCAAAAGCATTACATTAGGAAGAAAAGTAACTTGATGGCATTTACTCCAACCTTCTGGGCATTTTCTCCTTGATGGCCTACTAGAGCAGAAATTAGTGAGCATAGTAGTTACAATGGCATTTACTCCAACCTTCTGGGCATTTTCTCCTTGATGGCCTACTAGAGCAGAAATTAGCGAGTGTAGTAGTTACAAAATGGTCTTGGCCATCAGAGAAAATCCCACCACTTAGCAGCTGTGGGCCTGGGGAGAGGCAGATACCCTTGTCCGCCCTGCTCTCATTTCCTCTTCTGCAGAGTGAGGAGGATGACGGGATCCTGTGACGTTCACACAGAGCCTCATGCTCTGCCCTCCACCGAGATTCTGCTTCCCTTCACTCCCCAAGTCACTTAGTAGGGGAATTTCTGGCTCAAGACTTGCTTCTGGCATCATCAGGAGAGGACAAGACACCTCGGGGCAGTCCTTGGTTCACACAGCAGCTGTGGAGACATTCTTAGTTGCTTCTGTGTAGAAAACGTAGACAAAGAGCAGTCAATACCATTCCCAAATCCTATCTGTGATCTACCATGCCACAGCACCCACGAAGCCTGTCTCGAGGTCTCTTGTTTCGGGGAGCTTCCCTCTTCATTCTAGATGTACAGCAAAGTCATAGCAAAGAGCTTAAAGGGGCATTCCTAGCCTTGCCCTCCATTCAGAGGCCCCTTGCCAGGGAGCTAGCCGCCTACGGCTGTCTCAGGGGCCTCGGGTAAGCCATGGGTCCTGGAGAGCTAAGTACCCTCTGTCCCAGCTCCTCCCTCTCACTCCTCCCATCTAGGACTGTGGCTGTAACCCACCAGGAGGTTTTCATTCAGGCCTCCCCTGACTAGGAAACAGGTACCACACCCGTGCTGTCCCCCTGACCCTCAAATCTGCACTATTCAGAGTACACCAGTAAATCCAGGACTTCTGCTACTCAGCCTCTTTGTGATGGGATCTTTTCACACTATGTGAAGATGTATGGTTGAGATTGGTGTAATACAAAAAAGCCGAATGACCAGTAGCTAGGCAGGACTTCTGGGAGAGAGAATTCTGGGAAGAAGAAAGTGAAGTCACTGGTCAGACTTGGAGGAAGCAGGATAGGCAGGATGGAGATGAGGCAACCCCACGTGGAGAATATAGATTAGTATATAAATGGGTTAATTTAAGTTATGAAAGCTTATGGGGCCAGCCTAAGCTGAAGCCTAGCTTTCATAATTAATAGAAGTCTCCATGTCATTATTTGTGAGCTGGCGGCCCGAAGAAAGATCCATCTGTACCTCTCGTTTCCTTGATTACGACAGCCAAGCACCTGATTGGCGCTTTCCTTCTGGTTTGTCGTTCTCATTGACAGGCTGTATGTGTTTGACAGCTCAGCTCTTCCCATGGAAATCACCAACACGGACAAAGAGTCGGATCACCACAGACCAATTTGCGTGAGCTCTTGGTCTTCTGGAAGGAAAATTTACCTGCAAGACCAGACTGTTCTGACAAGACTGCACACATCACGAAGTCCGGGAGCCTGAGCTAACAAGCCATGCTCAGAAACAAACCCAAGATTCTCCAGAGAGCACCGGATTTGGAATAGCAGGTAACCAGCACCCATGCTGTCCTCTCTCAGGTCCCATGCTGACAGTGGATTGTGTGCTCTGAAGAACAGACTTAGCATGCAGGAACTGGGGACTCGGTGCGGAGCCCAAGGAGACAGAAGCATCACCATCATGCAGGTGTCACTAAGTGTGGGTACCCCATCCTCGCAGCAGGTGAATCACAACTTCCTCTGGGCCCAGATTAGTGTTCAGTGGCTGAAGTCATGGTAATAAGTTGGTACACTTCCCTGTGTGTATGGTAGGGGACAGTCTCAGGTATACATGAGTATGAAGAGGGAGACAATGATCTAACCATTTACATGGCTAAACCCTGAGTGAGTAGTTCATACCCTCCATTAATATGTTCCTCCCCAGGAAAGGCAACATCTGATTTTCAGAACACAGCTATTTTGGACCCAATGAACCACAAAAACAAAGACTAGTGGCTTATGTTTTTGTTGTTGTCTTTTTCTTTATATTACTGTTTCTTTCTATTAGAGCAAGAAGTCACACATCTTCATCACACAGACTCATCCAAAAGTAAGAATGTCATGAGGGTTAGTGACACCCTCCCCAGGCACAGACAACCATGTGCTGGCCTTGTGGGGGTCATGTCAGGGTTTTCTTTACACCATCAAATTCAGGTCACAATGTATACATAAACTGTAACATGCTGTTCAGTCTGAATCCTAGCAGGAAAAAGGTATGAATAAACTGAGATAAATTAAGAATGGTTTCATAAAAGGCTATTTGCATTGAAATGGCAAAGCAAAGGAAGTCACAGCACATAGCGCAGGGCCACAGGGCTCCTGGCAGCGAGAAGTATTGTCCCTGGGCCTGTGACTTGGGTTGGGAGTAAGGTCACCAGAACCCAGAGGCAGAGACAGCCAACTGGAAAGAGGCTCCTAGGAAGAGCTGGGACTCTTCCATCCAGAAACAAACACCCTCTAGCAACCACACAGTGAGGCAGTCAGTAGAACGAAGCTTGCAACTCCCTTCCCCAGCCCTACCCCCCCCAGCCTTGCCGTGTTTCCAGTGATGAACCCAATGGGAACCCAGAGGGCATGGGGTACAGGGTGCTACACCAGGGGACTGGCAAACCTTTCTGTAAAGAACCAAATTGCAAGAAGTTCAGCCAGCCACAGTCTTTCTAATATAAATCCAATCTGTAGGTATAGCAGGAACACAGTCACGGAAACACTTCAACAGATATTTTGGATATGACACCATCGCCATATCTGGCCTACAAAGTGAGCACATGAGTCACCTTCCCAGACCATAGAGCAAAGCAACAAAAAAAAAAAAAAAGAAAGAAAGAAAGAAAGAAAAAAACGGAACCTGGGTCTAGAAGGTTTCATGACAATACCCAGAAGCTTGGTGTATTCATTTGATACATTGTGAACATTTACTACATCCTCATCTTGGTTAATTTTATAAGATAATTTAATCAGAAACAAGATAGTTTGGAAAATATTACTACAAACATATCTATATACTACATATATGCACATTCTCTCAAAAGTAAATATACACATATGTATATATAATTACATTACTACCTTATCTGTAGGGAATGAGTTAATGTCCCTACTAAATGCCTAAAATTCTAGTGCCAAGCTCTGTGTATGCCATGGGTTTTCCTACACATACATACATATGATGACCTGCTTTTTCACACAAAAGAAGTACCTTACAGCCTCTGTTTGACAGGTCCAAATATCTAGCATCATGGCTGTCAGGGTTTGAGAGCATTATTAAGTAAGAGTCACTTGAACACAGCACTGTGACACCATTACAATTGATCTCTTCACTGAAAAGACCACCAAGTAATCATGGGTGAATAGTATATGCAGCATGGATTCGCTGACAAAGGAGCAATTCATGACCTGGAAAGACAGTAGGAGAGTGCAAAATCCCATCAGGTCACTCAAAACAGCACCAACTGAAAACCTGAATAGCTTACTTATGGAATTTTCTATTAATATTTTTGAACCACAGCTAACAATGGTAACTAAAACCACAGGAAGCCAGACTACAAATAAACAGAAACAATAGTAGACAAAATTAGGAACCTACTTGCTGACTCTAGTTCCTCATACTTTATTTAGCATGTATGTGTACCTCCCAATGCTACAAAACAATTTAAGAAGTCTTAAGTATTCAATAAGAGTTAACATTAAGTATGAAACAAATGAATACATAAGACTGTAAGAGTTCACCCTACAGATACAATCATTTTTGTGCACAGGACATATTCAAGAGTTCAAATTAAATAAAAGATACATGAATAAATTTGTTAGAGTTTACCCCATAGACATGATCTTGTGTCTGTACAAAGACATACTAAAGATATTTACTTCAAAACTGAATTTAGTGGAAACTCTTAAAAAGGAATTGATCCAAGTAAGCCCAGACTGGAGGTGATTAAAAAAAAATGTGTTCTTGGGCCATCATAAAATATTCTACAGGAACTCATGGAGTGGTCTCCATAGCATATGTTTTTTTTTAAATATTGAAAATGGGAGTTCCCTGTGACCATGTGACAGAGGAGATAAAACCCAAGTCCACCTCACAGATGGCCTGCATCATCTTCTGTCACGAGCCAAAAGCAGGCATGGCTGACTCTCTCAGGTACTGGTGGGAAACATTGAGAAGCACCTTCCAGGGGAAGTAACACGTTTGCCTGGACAGAGGTCTGTTTCGGCTTTACTCTGGTTCTTGGGGAATGGTGGAGGATTTAGCCATATGGACCTCTTCCAGAGGGACATCAAAGTTGAGCTGTCAAGTGACCATACAATCTAATCTGTCTATTACGGACTTCCCAGTCCCCTCTGGCCCACCCCTGCCCAGATGTTCAGTCTCTACAAAAGTGTGGTAATAAGCCAAAAGCTAGTCATCAAAATAAAAATGATGGTTGGCAGGAAAGGTGTCATTCCGAATTCCAGAGGTCTTCCCTTTCTTTATCACTCCTGTTTTACTCTGCATTCCACAAAGCGGGTCTATCTACCACAGTGTCTGCGATGGTTAACAGCGATCATCAACTTCATTGGGCAGAGAGTGAGAGGCCTTGGAACAGGAAGTCTCCATCAAATGCCCCCCTCCCCGGTCAGGGCTCCGGGAACCCCGCAGAAGAGGAGGCTGAAAGGGCATAAGAGCCAAAGGAAACAAGACCCTCCAAAATCAACATGGCCAGGGCTCATGTGAGCTCACAGTGACCGAGGCAGCGTGCACAGGGCATGCTCAGGCCCGCACCAGATCCTCGTATGAGACCGTAGTCTGGCTTCTCATTTAGTGTTTTTGTGGGATCCCTGAGGGTACAAACGAATGGGCCTCTCTTTCTTGTGCCTTCTCTTGGGCTCTTTTCCTTCTGTTTGTTTGTTTTGTCCTACTCTGATGTGTTAGTTTTGTTTTATCTTATGTTTTATTTTTTTGTTACCCCTTAGAAGCCTGTTTTTTTTTTTTATTCTAATGAGGGAGGGAGTGGAACCAGAGGGAAGATGAGGAGGAATTGAGAGGAGTAAAGAGAGGAGAGAACATAATCAGAATATATCATATGAGAAAAAATCTATTTCAATAAAAGAAAGAAAGAACAAAAATAAGAACCACTGATTGTCAGCTTGGCAAGATCTAGAATTACCTAAGAGACTAAATTCTAGTAATGTCTATGGGTGGAGTGGAGGTTTCAAATTGGGTTAAATGAGATGGGAAGACCCGCCCCACTGTGGGCGGCACCACTGACTGAGACGGGAAGACCCGCCCCACTGTGGGCAGCACCATTGAATGAGATGGGAAGACCCGCCCCACTGTGGGCAGCACTGTTTTATGGACTGAAGTCCTGGACCAAATAAAAAAGAGAAAGGCGAGTTGAGCAACAGCGGTCATTGGTGTATGCTTCCGGGTCACAGATGTAATGTGATCAGACCTGAAACTCCTGCTGTTGTCTTTGTCCATGAACTCTGAGTTTGATTGAGAGAACTTGTCTCCACAAATGAAGTGGGAAAAAAATTTGAGAATGATTCCTGGTATCAATCTTGGGCCTCTATATATACACACCATACATGCACAAACATCCACACACATACAAAATCATGTATGTGTGCACATGCATACCACACACCCATGAAACATGGAAAAGGAATTTAAAGAGGAAAAACTATGCATTAGCTTTTTGAAAACCTCTGCTGGGCTCCCTGAAATATATAAGTTCACTCTTGCAGGACAGGCCACACGCCCATTGATGCCCAGACACCTGGAAAGATTCCTCTGGCTGACCTTTAGACTCTGCTGTGTGAAGGGAAGGTTGAGCATCTGACGTCTGCCCCAGTGTGCCTGCGGAGCCCCACTGCAGAGCCTGGGAGACGCGGTTCCAACACAGAAGGAAGTCACTGTGTAAGCAAGGCAGCCTCTCAGCTGAGACGGTGGTCCCAGCACACAAAGAGTTAAAGACTTTGCCAAATCAGCTCAGGAGCTTCTTCAAGTCAAAACCAGCATCTGCGAGCTGGTTGACCTCAGACAGCAAGAGCTCCAAATCGCAGTGAAGAGGAGTGTGGGACCAAAGGTGTTACACCACATGGAAAAATACCCGCTTCGTCAACAGCAAGACAGTCTCAAGACCCACAGAGCAATGAGAAGAAAAGCCTATTTAGAGCAATTTATCATATACTAAACTTTGCTCTGTAGTCTGTTCTAGATTTTTTTATTGTGTTCAGTAAGACATTTTTCCATTTCTGCACCAACTTCCCAGCCTGTCTTATCTCTCCCACAAGTGTATTTAAGACAGCCTAAGGTTGGGCTGGAGGGATGGCTCAGTGGTTAAGCACACACACTGTGTTGTAGAGGACCAGAGTTCTGTTCCCAGCACCTACACTGGACTGCTCACAACTGTCCATAACTCCAGCTCCATGGGATCCAGAACCCTTTTCTGGCCTCTGAGGGCACCTGAACGTATGTGCCCAAATCCACACACAGTCACACACACATACACATAATTTAAAAAATAGAATAAACTTAAGAAGAAAAAAGAGAGAGATAAGACACACTCAGCTCTCAACTACTCGACACACCCTTCCTCCTGCAACACCTAGCACTGTGCCTTCGTGCGGCGCCCTGGGATCACTGGAGGACAGCATAAATATAACTACAAAGGCTTTGAAATCTGAGGACATTACTCCAGGCCCCTTCAGCTCTAGACTGAAAGTCCCCTTCCTGCTAGATTTACTTTCTCATTTCAAGTCCAGCCATGCTGCCCAATATAGATCACAGGAAGTTATAAGATCAAATGACAATATACTATGGCTTCATAATAAAAGGTCAGAAGCCAGGGCTCCGTCAGCAGCCACAGCCTGGGTTCTCATCCTCG